AAATAAGACTATAGAAAGAAATATCAAAGGCCTCAAAGAAAAAATAATTCTAAACCAAATTAAAGAAGTGACAAATCCTAAACCCACAGCATTAGCCCCAGAGCAAGAAATAAGTACTATAATAGAAGTCAGAATTCAAGAAATATAAGCAAAATTAGAAGAATTAATAAGGAAAATCAAAAGTAGAATAATAAAGAATCAATGCAATATAACCATTTTGTCTGCTCCATTACTTTTGATCGCCAGTATATATATCACATGGTTTTTAATTTACAAATCGATTAGTAATCAATTTAAAAAACTACAGACATCTTTGTTTAATAATATCTTATCTAACTGTAGATCTTTCGAAATACTTTAGTATGTTTTGACACTCGTTATAAAGATAGCAAACTTCGTTTATTTTCATTTTGTTAGCAAAAGTCTGATATTCTATCAAAGTCTCACGAATCTTGAAACAAAATCAATGTTTTGAAAAAATATATGTGTGTATATAATACTAAGCGATAAAAGATCGATTCAACTATTAAATGGGAAAAGGGTAGCGATTCAAGCAGAATAAAAAAAAATGAAACATGTGACAGGAAAAAACTATTTAGATTTAATCATCATCACTTAATACTGATACGTAATTAATAATATCAGTAGCCTATTATATTAAGTCTCGTAATCTACATCAAGAGTCATTTTTCAGTCGATGAAAATTGGCAATACATACCAATTGATAATCAGAATATTTATAATCATTTCATTAAATTTGTTAAAAATTTAATAAAATTTTAATTATTAGTAAATGTTATAAGCTCTATATTACCACGTTCTAGAATTTCTGTTGCTGATACACCAGATGTAAATTCATCCCCTCCAGTAGCTGTAGTACCTCCAAGGAGTATGCCAGCTAAACTTACCGTTTGCAAATCCGATGAATAAGAAAATATGGGCGCACCACTATCACCCGGCCGAGAGAACAAGCCTTCTACCAACAACAAAGTTTTTATAAATACATTATTATGTTCATCAATTTTAATTAATTGACGCGCATACGTTGATATTACGCGCCCACAGGTAACTCGTGTTGTGATGCCAGACTTGCATAAATGAACACCATTACTAAGTTTAGAGGCATCTGTAACATCTTTGATAAATAATTCATTATATACACTTGGATTTGTATTCTTTATAATTGCTGATGGATTGATTTTATTATCTGTTATTCTGATCACTCCAAATTCGAAAGGGTATAGTTCGCCAAAATCTGTACTACCAATTACTTTTCCTTTATAAGAAAATTGATTGTCCAGATTAGTGCAATGTCCTGCGGTCACTATGTAAATTAGATTTGGATTTGTTTTATTTTTGGCGAAAAAACCTATCGTACAACTTCCTTTTAGATTTTGATTATATATCTCTTCTCCAAGTAATATCTTTTGATCTATTTCCGCCTGTCTTTTTTTGAGATTCTGACTTAGATCAGGTCTTCTTATAAAAATTACAACCGGCTTTAATGGTTCAACTTCTTGTAAAAACTTTTCATTTTTTCTCCAGTTTTTGACGAATGTCATTATAACGATATTATTTCGCCTTACATCAATATAAACAAGTATGTTGATTGGTCTATTCTCAAAAACTATTTCTGCTATTTAATCATACCGTAACCTCAAGATTGGCATATACCGGTCAATATC